TGATTTCATTAGCATTTGGGGCTGGGCCTCCCACCCATCCCCTTCTCCCCCAATCCGTCTCTGTCTCCGGGCAGAAAAGAAAACAGCGAATTATTACAAAAACATCCCCAGTTTGGAGCAGGAGCTTAAGCTGGGAATACAGTCGATTTTGACATCAATTAAATATCTAACCAGACAAGTGCACGTGGCTTTGGAGGGTTTCTCCGTCACCCAGGGTGATTCTCCAGAACACTGCCTGCTCCCTCTCTGCTCAGTGCTGCTGATTCTAAAGACAGCCTCTTCCTGAGTGTATTTTTCCCCCAGCAATTACACTCCTCCACCGAAATCTAAATTTTCCATACTGCTGCCTGCTACTAATAAAAACCGTCTACCTTGCACTATTAAACAGTCGAATCGCACTACATGCCGTTTTTATTGGTAGTGACTGTAGCAAATTAAAATGCCTACGCAGAGACATTAAAACTCACGGTCTACATTGTTACTGGAATATATAACTCGGTTTCGATTTAAAGCTCCCTGATTTTGTAAAATCACTTTTCCTTTTCTTAGATTAAAGTTGGCTTGGCTTTCTCTTTGAAAAATCAATCGAAAAGACATGCGGCAAGTGTCGAGGCCAAACTCAGTGGCTCCTGGCACGGCCACCTGCGAGGGTGGCCTGGACTCGCTCGAACTGCGTGTCCAGTCACTGCGGGGAGCGCTGCTCCCAGGGAGCAGGGGCCTGGACGCATCTCTTGTGGCGTCGGGCGGGCGGAGAGCGTGGGACGGTCTGGTACTTGGCTACTGCTTCTTTCCAGTTGCCCTCCGAGCTGGAATGGGAGAAATCGGGCAGGCAGGCGAGGCAAACCTAGGAAGTCCCTTGACGGCTCCGGCATTGGCAGTTGCGTGGGCCATGTGCACTTCCAGATTTAGGATGGGCCCTCCCCCGCGTATGCATTTTTTAAAAAAGAGTTTAACTTGGTCACGTTATTATTTCTTGTCCCCACAGTGGCCGCTGCATTTAGGACAAGGCGGCGTGGACGTGCGCGTCTCAAGAAGCCGAGTTCCCCACGAGGCCAAGCGCGAAGAAACGCCAGAAACGTGGCCAGGACTTCAGGGCCAACCGGGAAAACGCCAAGACCCTGGCCCAAGACCGTACCCCTTACACTTAGGTTTAATTCGGGGAAGAAGAACAATTATATCAGGCATTGCAATAAAGCTTACTCCGCATACGACCTTTTTCTCTTTGTCTTATTGCCCTAACCTTCGCTGGACTTTTTGTAAGTTTGGTGAATATTT